TAAGGATGAGGCATATAACCTCCACTAGATTAAGCTATCAACTACAATCAAAACTAAAAATTAGGCTACTGTAGAACTAGAAATATAAAGGTTAAATGTTAATTTTGGTCCTTCAACTTAAGGTTTTGCACAATTTTCATCCTTTAACTTTTTTTTGCACTTTTTTGGTCCCTTAACTACTAAAAATGTAATTTTTTAATTCTTTTCTTAGTTAATCCTTTAAATTTATATAAATTTGCACTTTTTTAGTCCCTCAACTTCTAATATATGCACATTTTTCATCCCTCAACTTAAAGTCACTGTCATGCCCCAAAACCCGAATTCGAGGCGCGACAGATGCCGTGCACTCGTGAGACGGGTCCTACAAATGCACAAGGCTCGGAACTTATCCAATTAACAATCTGATACCATCAAAATCTGAAGATCAACTTTTAAAATCTGCTCTAATATCATAAATCTCCAATAAAGTCTCCAAATACAAGATCATGATTTGTTTCTAAAATTCATATCCAATTACAATATGGCCAGCTTTCTAACTCGTTACTTCCCGTGGTTTCTCCGTCCTCGGTTTCACTTCTTGAAATGGTGGACAAGGAAAACTATGAGATAAACTCAGTAAGTAAAATATGGATTGCCCTTAATTAAACGTATAGCATGCCAACAAGTATAATCACGAAAACGGTTACAGTGCGGGAACGAAATAGATGTCTCCTCTATAGGTCACGACCAATGTTATAAACCTCCCACTGGCAGGCTACAGAATTTGCTAGTGTATAATCCCACTAGCAGGATAACAGAAATGAACCGGTTCTATCAGTAACATATCGACATGTGCTGACATGTGCTAGCGTTTAACCCCCACTAGCAAGGTTACAATAACATAACCACATCGGAGACAAAACAAGCAGAAGTTAACGAAAAATCATAATTCACCAATCACTTTCAAATCATCAGGACAATCAATTAAATTTCAAGTAGGCATGCTCAATTTAATAAAAAGCATAAAATTTCACTTCAAATCAGTCATGCTCGTGTAAAACGGGTTTAGTCCCGCCACCACTTCAAAAACAAATCAAAACATGCTTTTAAAAACTATACGGGCATTACCATAAATTTACTTACTTCACTCGCATAAAACCGAGCACTCAATCTCATTGCTAACTGACAGAACGATCGAGAACCTAATCAAAATATCCACAATTAATTATCGTATCACCACAAATTCAAACTGAAATCATCATTAAAATCACCCCTAATCACAATGCTATTTCTATCAATCTCCACATGATCAAATATCTCTAAATTCGTTCTTATATCACAAACTAATCATTTAAATCCCCGTTAATTGTTGGCCCTCGGTGTGTGAACAGTACCCCGTGAACAGTATCATGAACAGTACCCCGTGAACAGTAACTCCAACTTCCAAAATTGGCAAAACCATAGCCTATTCTCACGGGATTGTTCTCCAAAAAATCTCACAACAATCAATTAACACTCAATCACATAAATCCCACTTCAATTAAGCTAAATCATGGTCCTAAAGCTATCAAATTCTTCCCCATTTTTCTAGCAAAATTCGGACATACACAGCCAGCAAACTAAATGGACAATTTAAGCCTAAAAAGGCTATCACATAGCATAATTCTCCAGCTGCAGAAACCGGAGCTATGGGGGAGAAGAAGCCGGCGGCAAGCTGCAAGGAAAGCTCACGGGTTTACCCAAAAATTGGAGGAACAAGAGCAATTAAAGTAAACCCAGGGCAATTCAAAGCTAGAGAAGGGAGAATTCGAGCTATTTCTTACCAAAAAACCGAACAAATCACACCCACAAAGCAGGAGCAGCCGGACGGTGGGGAGCAGAGCAAGGCAGATCCGGATTTTCCAGCGGGGGAGGGAGATTTCTAGGTTCAAGAACAAGAAAAGGAGGAGAAATCCAAGCTTTCTCACCGGTTTCTCAAGGCTGGTGCCGGCGGCTTGCTTGGTTCCCTCTTTTTTTTTGGTTCGGGCTGCAGCAGGGTCGGGAAGAGCAGAAGCACGCGGGGAAGAAGAAAAGAAAGAAAAAAGAAAAAGAAAGAAACTGATCCTTATCCAAATCTCTTCCACTTTTAAGTCCCTCAACTTTTGAACATTTTGCCATTAAGCCCCAAAACAACATTTCCTCACAATCAAGTCCTTAACTTAATGCTAAATATCACAAAATTTTGGGGTATTACAGTCACTTTTTTTGGAAAATGCAAATTCTGACAATAAATTCAGTTTACTGATTGTAAAATGTTTGATTACTCAAATGTATCAACAAAATCTTTTGATTAGTTTTTCTAATGATTCTAATCAAAATCCCTTTTTTGGGCAC